TTTTTTTTCAGCCTGTCAACGAATACGCATGCAATCAGTTCATTGATTTTTAATATTGAGAACCTAACAGTTTTTTTTTATGTTGAGTGGTATATAGTGAACAGTCAAATTCAGGCAGTTAGCTTAATCTCACTGTTGATGTTCACAATGAAACTTGAAACTATTACCTCTTGTTTTAATCACTTTATGCTTCATCTCCTGAGTTAATTTATTTATCAGTTCTGAAGTGCTATCGTTGTTTTAATATTTTTTTTAAAAATGAAAATTGATAATATCAACTAATCATTAACCAATTATCCCTTTTCATTAACTTTTGTTGTCATATTTGATATGATATAATGAAGATATTGGGTTCGAATCCTGCGAGGTTTAGGAGTCATGGATGCCCACTGCTGATGAGTCTCACACCTGGACGAAACGACCGTCCAGTGCTTCCAGATTTCTGATGGTGGTCTGACATTGATCGATTCATGATAAACTAGAACCTTTTAAATAATATTATCATGATATAATGAGTACTAACTACCTGTTGTCATTATAAATATATTTTTGAGGACTACTCTGTGAATACTAATACTACTACTACTACTACTACTATTACTGTTAAATGACTTCCTTTACCTGTCATTAACTTCATACAAAATAATAATTATAATAATTTCTTCTCAACCTCAAGTTAACCTTAATCTACTTGCCAAAAACACAGTCAACAATATATATATATATATATATATATATATATATATATATATATATATATATATATATATATAACATTTATAGTCAATCTATTTCCGGTACATCCCTTCAATAACCAAACAAAGAGAGAATGAAAACATTTCTTGAATACTTGAAAAGAAAACATTGTAGAGTCACTTTTTTATTCTGTACATCTACTTGTGTGTGTGTGTGCGTGAGTGCGTGTGTGTGTGGGAGCTTTTGCCTTCTTATCAGATAGGAAATGTAAAAATCCCCAGTAAGATAGATTTCTATGACAGAAGCACATCATAACTGAAAGGAATAAATAATCCATGGAGGAGGATATTGATTTTGTCATTCATTGTACAAGAAGGAATAGATTCACTTTAGATATAATAGATATATTTATATATTTATTTGCTGTTATTCAAAAGAAGAGTTTTTGAATTATTTTTCTTTTCAATAAGATAAAGTTTTTTGCATTTCATATTCTGTCAATAATTGTCTTTTTTTCTTCATTTTGTCCATGAATATGCCAAGTACTTACTGAATTATATATGTATATATACAGACACACACGGTGAGGTAAACTTCCGTAACATGCTAGTTCAATTTGATCTGATATAACTACTCATTCTCCTTATTTTTAAAAAAACGTTTACATTATGAAACAATGAATTATTTTGTTAGAAGAAAATTTTATTCTGTAATTTTTTTTTTCTACAGAAAAGATTGATTATATAACGGACAAACATTTCAGCTTGTGTGATGATATTTGCCAATGGAATTCACATGTGAGTATGCCATTATTGATAATTCAAATTAGAACATGGACATAAAACATTTCCATTCTACTAAATAACTAATTTCAAATAGTCAATAACTTGTTCAATAAGCCATAATGTTCCCTAAATAGGAAAAGACGCACGTCTTGAAAAATCCTTGATAGCCCCAATACATCTAGTTGGTGAAACTAATGACAGAAATATCTTTTCTGAGAAAGCTCATACATCAGCAAAGTATTGATTAAAGCTCCAGTGCTAAAATCTTTGTGGTTTTCATAAACTTTACTCAAAATTCTAATATCCTAATACTAACTACTGATTTTAGGTTGTAAGCAGATAAGGAGCATCTGTGTTATTAAAGAATTCATGTTATTCAGCTTAATTACTGGTTATTTCATTATTCGAATTTAAAAATGGGGAAAATTGCATGAAAATTGAATGTCGGGTTTGAAAAAAAAGTGAATTTTTCACACAGTCGAAATCATCAATCAATCATTGTTAGACCAACATTTGAAACCCGGAAGCACTGAAAGTGCGGCCGTTTCGTCCTGGTATGGGACTGACTCATCAGCAGTGCACATCCACGACTCCTGCTCCTCGCAGGATTCGAACCCGGGGCCTTCGGTCTTGTGGGCGAATGCCTAAACTCTGGACCACTGGGCCGGGATCCAAAGGCGGTAATGTCTAACTCTGATTGATCTAGAGATTTTGCGTGACCTCACCCATTTGTCTTTGATAGTTACTGCCTACACCCGACAGGGTTGAACTCCATTGGTCACGTCTTATCAACTAGAACTCCGAGAATTTCTTCACGAAGCTTGTAACTAGTGAGCACTGTTACGATATTTTGGGGTAGAGTTTTAGAGGTTTGTGTTTTTTACGAATTCGAAATCATACCAGGACGAAATGGCCGTCCAGTGCTTCCAGGTTTCTAATGGTGGTCTAACATGATTTCGAATGTGTAGAAAACACAAACCTCCCAAACTCTGCTCCAAAAAATGAGAATTAAAAATTCTCCAGTAATACCTTGAATTATGGCAATACATATAAGACATTATCAGTAACTACCTCCTATGGAAGAGAACATATCAGATTCCAGGGGAGGAAGAAACCAGGAAGAAGCTCTGGAAGTGGAAAACAAGCACTCACGTGGAATCTTCGAGGCCATATGAAAAGAAGAAGACCAAAGAATACATTACGCCGAGAAATAAAGACAGACATGCGAAAAAAGGAACAATATTTGGACGAAACTAGAATGGAAGGCTTAGGGAAGAGTAAGTTGGAGAATACTAGTCAGTGGCCTATGCTCCACTTGGGCAAACAGACGAAAGGTAAGTTAAGGTAAGATATAGGAAATGTACTTTCTAAATCATAATAGTGATTATGCAATATACGACTGAAATCAATATCAAAAATCAATATCACATTTGAAGTAAGTCATATTTTTTATTAGATTACACTAATTTCATTTAGTTTTCTATTGACGAAAATCTAAAAACTTCTTCATTGTTAAATCAACATGAGTGAAAATAATAACATGTTTGTACTTCTCCTATTTACTGTTCAAGTGAATTTGTTTATGTTGTTAATCTTTTATAGAACAGATTAGTTCATTAAATCATGTAAAATGTTTGAGAATTTGTTTATGAAACTAAATTTTGATATCTTCAATTGCCTTCATAAACCCATGATATATTTGACTTCATATCAATAGACGAATAGAGATAAAAACGTCAAATTAGTTTGTCATGATAAATCATTATTTTCATTAAAGAGTTATAGATATTGTTGAGTTTCATTGAAATCATGAATTGGTCATTGTTAGACCACTATTGGAAACCTGAAAGCACTGGACAGCCGTCTTGTCCTGGTATGAGACTCATCAGTAATGTGCATCCTTGACCCCTTACATGTCGTAATCGGACTAAGGACTGTCAGTCTTGCACGTGAAACGGAATCCAAGGGTTTTATTGTCAATCAGTCCTAGGTAATGCTCAACCTCATTCATTGTGCATAATGAAAATCAAATAAAATGTGTTCGCTAGTGACTAGCTTCTTGAGGCAATTCTTCGAGCCTCAATTAGAAGCCGTAACCAGTGGAGTTCAACCGAGCCGTGTGTAAGACAGTAACTACCGAAGACAACGGATGAGGTTGCCCAATACCTTGGACTAATTGAAGTTAGACATTAGCACAGTTGGATGCCAGTTCATTCACCAATAAACTAGACTGTTGGTGGATGCCCACTACTGATTACTTCCATACTATTACGAAACAGCTGTCCACAGTTTCCACCTCTCTAATTGTGATCTAACATTGATTGATCTGTGAATTCAATGCAAATCATTATTTGAAAGAAAATAAGATTCTGTTCAATAGTCAATTTCATAAAAATTCACTAGAAATCTTTTAAATTTATTATTATTAGAATGTCTGCCTTTTAAATTTAAAGTTTATGGACAATTTTTTTATGACAACATTATACATTACTGTTTATTATGCATAATTATACAAGATTTACATAAAATATCATAAACATTTATACCTGGAAAGTTCATAATTACAGATTTATTAATAACAATACTGATAATATTAATAACTTACCCTGTTTGCCCTCTATAAGAATGCGATAATGTATTATTGTTCGATGTCCAATTTAAATTGTTCATTTTCGGCAAATTATCATCACAATCATTGGAATTTCTTCTTGTATACGATGACATTGTCAATGAATTAGTATGATTTACTACTGGTAAATTAGTTATTGCAGGTGGAAATATCATAGGATTATTATGATTATTTTCATTGAGTGGTGTAGTAAGAGTCGATGGATGCAATGAAGGTATCATATGTCGATTGTTCGATAACTTTTCCTCACTAGTTGTAACGCTATTATTATTATTATTAGTATGAGGTGAATTTCTATGTGCAATCATTAGACCACTATTATTATTATTCGATAATACTGCTGCTGTATTCCCATTGGATTTATGCAAGTATTCTACAATATTATCTCGATTCAATAGTGAATGATGTAACGCTCCACGTTCATTGTTTAAATGAAATGAATCAGTAAGTTTTGAATGATTATTATCATGACTGATTTTTTCATGTATACCATCATTAGGATAACATGCGAAACGATTATTATTATAAGCAAATGAAGGAAAATAATTTTGTAACGGTGGCATGTTGTGACATGTTGTGTAATTTTTATCATGATGATTGGATTGTAAATTGTTTAGGGGATAAGAAGATAAATGTTGATTCATAGTGGTGGTACAATTATTATTACTATTATTATTACTATTTTGATAATTCATATGATATTGATGAGGATATTGAAAACAAGGTGGAAATCCTGTAAATTTATAATTTATATTATTTTGTAAATGAATTTGATTATCATTGGTATGATTGACAAGAAATTCATTTTCTTGTTTACATAATTTTGCAGGATTATTTTCATTTGATAACATGGCAGTAGTGATTCCAAAGTCTATTGAGGTTGTTGCTGTTGGTGTTGTGGTCACAATCGGTGTACATCCAGATGTAATTGTCTCATTTATATGATGTAATTTTGATGGATTTGTTTGATCTGTTAATGAACTAAGTCGAGATTTTTTCATTAATGGCATCATCATGTCGGTGGAGTCATGACTGGGTGAATAAAAAGTAGCCTGATGCTCAGAATGACGATGCTGATGCTGATGTGGATTGTTACCAGTGATTTCATTTAAACACACTGTATCACAATCATTATTTTCATAATCACATGAACTAATTGAATGTTTATAAATATTCAATTGAGAATATGCATGTTCTGTTGAATGTTCACCTGGATGATAATCTTTAGTTTGTTCCACATTATCCTCATCGCCATCATCCTCATCTCCATCGCCATCATGATCATTATGATGATGATGATGATGACCGCCGACAGGATTATCGTCATCAGTATCTTCAACACACTGATTGTCATTATTATTGTTATTATGATTATGATTAACAGCATTCGATGAATCCGCTTGATACAATTTATTGAATATGTCAGTCTCTTTTATCTGATATTCATGAGAATTTTGTAGCAAATCATTAAAAGTGATACGAATTGCATCATCGTGAAATGCGGGTGATAAAGATTTTGCCCTGTTGAATGATAATGATGGAGATGAGGAGGAGGATGGCGATGATGAAGATACTGTGGAATGGATCATTAACATTGATTTATTATTAGTAGTAGTAGTAGTACTAGTAGTATTAGTATGATCATAAGAATCATTCGTTAAAAATTTCATTTCAGCTGATATGGTTAAACTGGTCGTTTGTGATTGATTTTGATTGAATGACTCTTCTTGAAGAATACATGGGATCTGAATGTGAAATGGAAATGGGAACATGAAAATATAAGATGATATGAATTGAAATGAAGTTTGTGACTTTGTAAATGTTTTTGCTAGTTTATAGCAATAAATTGACAGATAAAGTTTGTTATTTAAATCGATCATTGTAAAATTTATGTTTCTTGGATAAAGCCTTACAATTGTTAACAACAATGTATAGTCATACTCAAATTATTTAGACTTAAATAGACTAAAGTAAACATTTTAAATTCAATTTTCTTATTTATGTTAATTAATGAACTTCCAGTTAGAGTTATGGAGATTAATGTTTTTACACACTGAAATCATCAATCAATCATTGTTAAACCTAAAGTCAATGGACGGCTGTTTCATTCTGGTATAGGACTCATCAGTAGCAGTGGGCATCCACGACTCCTGATACTAGCAGGATTCAAACCCACAATCTTCGGTGTTGCGTGCAAATGCCTAACCTTTGGACCTCGAGGCCAGCATCAAAAGGTTTTAATGTCTAACTCTGATTGATCTAGAGATTTTTTGTGACCTCACCTGTTTGTCTTTAATAGTCACTGCCTACACCCGACAGGGCTGAACTCCACTGGGCACGTCTTCTCAATCACTCGAACTCCGAGAATTTCCTCATGAAACTAGTCATTAGTGAACACATTTTACGATTTTTCAATTAGAGTTATGGAAATTAGTGTTTTTATACATTGAAATTAATAAAATTAGCAATTAGAAGTGTATGTAGTATGAAAAAATAAACTTTATAATTTCATATGTTCAGAGATAAATCGTAACACTTAGTAGTAATAACTATTTGCAAACAATCCATACGCCTTTACATAGTACTGTAGTCTGTTAAGTAATAATATGCTTTCTTACTGAACAGCTGTTTTATTTCACTACATAACTCCTCACAACCAAAACCAAAATCAGGATTTTTAATACAAATGTGTAGACAGTTCTACTGTATGGAGCGGAAACTTGGAGAACTACCAAAGCCATCATCCAGAAGATACAAGTGTTTATGAACAGTTGTCTACGCAAAATACTTCGGATTCGTAGGCCAGACACCATCAGCAACAAACTACTGTGGGAGAGAGCAAACCAGATTGCAGTGGGGGAGGAAATCAGGAAGAAGCGATGGAAGTGGATAGGACACACATTGCAGAAAGCATCTAACTGCGTCACAAGACAAGCCCTCACATGGAACCCTCAAGGCAAAAGGAAAAAAGGAAGGCCAAAGAACACACTACGCCGAGAAATAGAGAAAGATATGAGAAGAATGAACAAACATTGGACAGAACTGGAAAGGGAAGCCCAGAACAGAGTTGGATGGATAAAACTGGTGGGTGGCCTATGCTCTATTGTGGGTAACAGGCGTAAGTAAGTATGTAAGTAATGTAACTCCTTAACCACCTGTATGTACGACTCGTTGTCTACAGATCGAATAATTACAGCTTAAAGCTCATTTAGCGGGTTCTTAACAATTAGATCGCTAGATTAACATCGAATTCATGATGAACACTATCTACAGATTAACAAAAAAATAATAATAATCTCATCATGTAAACTCTGTTTGTATTAAAAAAAAATGTGTAAACGTGCTCAATCATTCATCAATTTATTATTGATTGCGTAATTGATTGTTATGATGAAAAGTTTAGATTACGACCATTATGTGACGCAATGATTTACAAAAATTAACAAACAGATAAACATCTACAAATCAACATTTGATCCCACATTATTACTAATCATTTCTAATGTAGAAACAATTTAACATAGAAAAACGAAACTCAACCGAATGTTAGGGGAAATGAATTTCAACTCTAACAGACAAAGATTATGTTTATGATAAGGATATTCATTACACAGTTAGTTAGAATACCATAACAATCATTTCTTGTTTGAAATGTTAACTAAACAAACATAGTTCATAATTAATTTTTGAAAAATCAAACCCACTTAGAATCATCAGTCATTAATTTTTTTGAAACCATGAATCGATCAATGTTAGACCACCATTAGAAACCTGGAAGAAGCACTGGACAAGGGCCGTTTCGTCCTGGTATGGGACTCATCGGTGGCAGTGCGCATCCACGACTCCTGATGCATCCCGCAGGATTCGAACCCAGCACCTTCGGTATTGTAGGCGAACGGCTAACCATCGGACCACTGAGCCGGTATCTAACGACGTTAATGTCTAACTTGATGAAATTCATGGAGTTGCGCAACCTCATACACAGTCTTCGGTAGTTACTGTCTACACCTGAACAGGTTGAACTTCACTGGCCACGTCTTCCCACTAGAACTCGGAGATCCCTCACGAAGCTAGTCACTAGTGAGCACAGGTAATTTGCATTACGGGGTTGTGAAGAATGTTAAGCATTTTTATGAGGTTGCGCAACTCCGTGAATTGATCAAGTTAGACATTTACACCGTTAGATACCGGCTAAGTGGTCCGATGGTTAGCCGTCCGCTCACAATATCGGAGGTCCTGGGTTCGAATCCTGCGGGGAGCAGGAGTCGTGGATGCTCAATGCCACTGATGAATCCCATACCAGGACGAAACGGCCGTCCAGTGCTTCCAGGTTTCTAATGGTGGTCTAACATTGATCAATTCATGGTTTTTAAAAAAAAACCTAACAATCTTCACAACCCCGAAATGCAAGTTCATTTATTGTAAAGAGAACAAACATGCTGAAATTGAAATATTTATGCCAAATAATATTGATTGATAGTTTTACAGTTTATGAAAAATAACAATGTAAATTGAACATACTAATTATTGATTATTATTGAAATTATGAATCATTCATTCAATCAATCATCGTTAGACTACGATTAGAAACCTGTAAGCATTGGACAGCCGTTTCATCTTCCTATAGGGTTCATCAGCAGTCTGCATCCATGAGTTATGCTACTCGCAGGATTTAAACGCAGGACTTTCGGTCTTGCACACGAACGGCTAACCTCTGAACCACTGGGTTATGTATGATTTCAGTAGTAAACAACAATCTCCATTATTCTATCATGATAATTTGTTGAGTACTAACCTAATGGTTCAATAATTAAAGTGTAATACTTTCTGCCACTAGAATCCAGGTGCAATCTTCACTCCAGCTGTGGTGCGCGCTACTTATAAGTAGTATATGACGCGAGTGGAAACGTAATGTCTGGCAGCAGAAGATGGAGGAAGATCAAGAAAGAAAGAGTGGGAACACAATGGAATTTGTATGAAACGCATGAATAGTGAAATGTCAAACAATGGATTGATGATGGATTGAAGATTTCCAAATTAACCGTTTACAATATGGTTTTCCTATTTTACTGAGTAACTCTGTAATTTGCGACAAATACAATTCGGTTGCCCTCACCTGTGTTCTCCTTCACTACACCGCTACTTCCATTCGAGCAAGCAAGCAATCCTTATATTTCAAGCGTAATTTGAAGCTAAGCATATTAACCTATACCTAGTGAATGTGTTGGATAAATAATTATGAGGCATAAAAACTCAACTTTTCAGCTGTGTTATACTCATGCATGCATGAAAATTTCATAATAAAGTTTTCAGTTATTCTTGAACTAAAATTCAATTTATAAAAAGCTAATCTTTAATGCTGAATATACATTTTTTAGGGATGATATTTCTTATTCATTAATTAATTTTTTTTTTAAAATTCACTGAATAATTAGACGATAATACCTGTTACAATTGGTAAACATAAACACTTTTTAAATCAGATTGTGTTAGCTTAATTTTCTTACAAAAAAAACAATTTGTTTTCTATCCTACAATGATATACAATTATAGTTATTTTGAAGCACACCTAAAATTTTAGTTTCAGTAATAATTATATATTCATTTCATGTGAATACACAAGGTGATACTTCCAGTGCGTCAACCAGACATCATCAACAACACCCTACTGTGTAGGTTGAAACAAACCGGATTCCATCTGAGGGAGAAATTAGCAAGAGGCATTGGAGGTGGATAGGACACACGCTAAGGAAATCACCTAACTGCGTCACAGGACAAGCCATCACTTGCAGTTCTCAAAGCAAAAGGAAAAGAGGGAGACAAAAAAACACATTACGCTGAGAATTGGAGACAGATATCTAAACAATGAATAGCGATTGGTTAGAGCTTGGAAAAGAAGGATCAGGACAGTGTAAGTTAGAGAATGCTGGTTGATTACTTATGCTCCACTGGGGGGTAACAACCGTAAGTAAGTAAGAAAGCAACTCCATGAGAAATATACATTGATTGTATAGCCTATACTACATTTCCACATAGTTTCATTGCGAATTCTTTTTATTTTCGCAATTTAATTTCTTCATTTGAATGCATTGCATACATTTGTATGCATACTTATTGAATTTGAAATCGATTCTTCAAGTTTCACTATTAATTACTTATTTACGCCTGTTACCCACAATGGAGCATGGGCCGCCCAGCAGCTTTCTCCAAACAAATCTGTCATGGGCTTCCCTTTCCAATTCTGTACAATGTTTGTTCATTCCTCTCATATCTTTCTCTATTTCTCGGCCTTCCTCTTTTCCTTTTGCCTTGAGGGTTCCAAGTAAGGACTTGTCTCGTGACGCAGTTAGGTGCTTTTCGTAGTGTGTGTCCTATCCACTTCCACCGCTTCTTCCTGATTTTCTCCTCCACTGGAATCTGGTTTGTTTTCTCCCACAGTCGGTTGTTGCTGATCGTGTTTGGCCAACAAATCCGAAGTATTTTCTGTAGACAATTGTTAATAAACACTTGTATATTCTGGATGATGCCTCTCGTAGTTCTTCAAGTTTCCGATACATTTGTATTGAAAATCCTGATTTTCGTTTTGATTGAAAGTTGTTTGGAGCAAATTTCGTCTTTGTTTGTTGTTATATCGTCATAAAATGAAACAATTTGAATTCATTCTAGTTAGTTTTTATATTGGTAATTTCCTTTCTAACTAATAGTATATAAATCTGTAAATGTATATACATTTTTCTTTGTAATT